TTTAGGGTTTAGGGTTTAGAATCCCAGCATCGAACATGACCCCCGCATTGTTGACGAGCAAACTCAGCTTCGAAACTCCCAGTGTCCTTGGCGTAGGCTTGCTTATAAGGTTGGTGTGGGCTGGGCAAGGCTTTTGTAACATAGCGGCCTCAATGCTTGAAATGAGGTTTGGGGTAAAGGATAGCATAATCATACAGGGACTAGACCCGTCAAGCTTGCAGGGTATGTTGGGTGTCTTCAATCGGTACTGTTTCAATCCCAAGAACTCTCAGCTGGACTGGGAGGAGTGGACTCTTGCTTAAGATTGCTGGTGTTGCTTTAGTACCACTGCTACGCTCATCACGAGTCCTGGCACTATTCCACGATTATTGCCAGTCCTTCAGCCAAAACCCTGAACCCTCATACCCTAAACCCTAAACCCTAAACCCTAAACCGTGTGACTCATTACTAATAATCTTGCTGGGATCTTCAGCCGCTCCGGTAGCGAGGAGACGCTGCGGCCATCGCTGACGTCCAGATGCACGAAGTCGCAGCCCAGCTCCTGCCATTCGAAGCTTCTTGGGTTTCGGGCGTCGGCTTTGGGCATGTCCAGGCGGTTTGGGCCGTCGATCCCTAAGTCGGAACCACCACGCCCTTAAGCCTGGCACTCCCTAAAGCCAGATGTCTGACCTGGTGTTTGGACCAGTAGATACAGCTGGCAAGCAGGAATGACAAGAGAGTCCGCGCATGGCTTGAACAAACCTCGGCAGAATATATTCAGCTGGTGCTTGGCCACGAGGTGCAGTCCCATCTTGTCTCGTGCACATGTTACGTGGCAGGGTGTTCCCACACGGTGACGACGACAGAAAGGCGATCATGAGTAGTGTACCCGCGAAGCTGAAGCTACACCTATTCGGCTTCTCGGCGCTATGATTGACATCCTGCCAGGCCAAAACTTGCCGCGCTCAGAACATGTACAATGAAGCTTGACGAAACTGCTATGCCTGACTGCAGTGCCCAAACCTTACGAAGCCTCATCAGATCCCGTCACGATGCAGGACACAAATATGTTTAGGGTTTAGAGTTCAAGGCTAGGGATTTATGCATAGCTTTTGGCTTCGAGTCCTGGATTGTATGGGAGTTCTTCTGAAAGCTAAAACTCTAAAAAATCTAAAAAGCAGCAACAGCAACAAACCCCTTCAACAACCCAGACCATAAACACCCCCGGAACCTCAGCAAATTCAGAAGAGCCTAAAACCCTCAAGCTCCCTCAACCCTAAACCCTAAACCCTAAAGCTCCCTGGTAATCCTAAACCCTAAAGCTCCCTGGTAACCCTAAAGCTCCCTAAAACCTAAACCCTAAACCCGAAATCCTCAAACCCACACAAGGCTCCTTGGCGGCATCCCGACCCGGCGCTTCCCTGCGGCAAGCGATGAGAACACCTGAATACTAGGGTTCAGGGTCTAGGAGTCTAGGAGTTTAGGAGTTTAGGAGTTTAGGGTTTAAGAGTTTAGGGTTTAGGGTTTAGGGTTTAGGAGTTTAGGAGTTTAGGAGTTTAGGGTGAACATTCTGAGTGAAAGGCAGCTTTCGGAGGCTTTAGAGCCCAGGATTCGGGAGATTATTGGAGTCTATGTCTATTGGGGCCTTATCTTAGGGCCCCCCTCCCAGAAAAATGGATGAATACCCAACAACGACAAGCGAACAAACGAAGATCCGGCCAGGCTTGGGGTTAGGGGTTTTTAGGGTGTAGGGTTTAGGGCTTAGGGGGATATGGTGGCGTGGCTCAGCCTGACAACGCGACTCGTCGAGGTACAGCCCTACTTCCACTTAAGACAAGCCTCCGTAAACCCTGAACGCTGAAACTCCACAACCTGACACCCATAGATCCGACATGCTAAACCCTCAAATCTTAAAACTATAAGCCCTGAACCCTACATCCTACTGCCCTAAGCCCCTGAATCCTCAAAACCCTAAGCCCCTCAAATCCTAGAACCGGAAAAAGTCCGGGGCGCGGCTGTACTTCTGGGAAGCGATCAGCCTCCTGCCCAGGAGCACCAACAACCTAAAGCCTTGAACCCTACACCAAGGGCTTCTTATGAGGGCCTTTAAAGGTTCGTATAGGGAGGGCTCTGTTTGTTTTTTTGAAGCTGCTGTAAGGTTTCAGAAATTGTGTTAATGGTGTTTCTTGAAGGTGAGGTACGGAAGCACCTTCTGGAGGACTCTTCGTCGTAATGAGGATCGTACCATTGAGGGCTCGGCATTAGCGTCCCCTGCGTGCTGAAACTCTAAACCCCGTTAGGCTCCAACTCCTGAGCTTGAAACCGCAAAGAAAAACCGAAAAATGCTGAGAAGTCAGCACGTGTTCATCTGGCAGGCTCCGTCTTCAGCAGTCCTTTCTATGCCAAAGCCCTTTCGGGTGTATAGGGTTTGGATGGCCTCAAATTTAGGGCTTCGGGAGCATAGGCTTTGAGGCTCGGTGACTTAAGAGCGCGCGAGCCTCCCAAAGATTCATGACCCCAGGCCCTAAACTGGAACCTCTATAGGGTTTAAGGTTTAGGGTTCAGGGTGTAAGTTTTGAGGTTTAGGTTTTAAGCCTTGGGGTTAAGGGGACTCTACAATCGAAGCTTTGGGGTACACTAAACCCCCAACCCAAGCCCTCAACATCCCCAACAACTTAATAGCAGACCTTCGGCACGCCCGACACCCGAAACTTTCGGAACCTGAAAAGCTTTTTGGAGTTGCAAATTCCAAACTTAAGTCCTTCGGGCACGCTCAAGCTTTGCGGGTTTAGGGATGTTTTAGGTTTAGGGTTTTGGAGGTTTGGTGTTTTGTTTGTTTTGGCTGGGGACTCGTTGCTTAGGCCGGCGACCTTTTCTTCGATCACCCCCGCAAGGCTCGAAAAAAGCCGCCTAGGACGCAGGCTCCAACACCTCGCCCCATCGGGGCCGAACCCGTAAGCTGCAAAACTCCGTGACTCCGCAGTGTCTGGTCACCGATCTACGAGCAACACATGCAGCTTCATGCTGCATCAGGCACGGACAGTGCAACACCGGCTGTTTTTTGTGCAAGAAGTGTATTTGCTGGCTTTCAGGCGGGGGACGCGTCGAGTCTAAGCTTGGACGGCTGTTCACTATGAAGTTCTTTATTTGGGTGTGACGTTGTTGCGGCCTACAGGTGACTTGTGGAGCTATGCGAATGATACCGCGATGCCGAGAGATGAAGTACTCTGCATTGCTGGTGGTTGGACTGCTTGCATTGCGCACAATGTAACTTTCCCATTCGTGCATTCGTTTCCTCAGCGACAACCCGACAACAGACATGTTTCGCGGTGCAGCGGGATGTTCTCTTCTTTGGGACTGCATTGCATCAACATGAATCTCGATTTTTCGGATGACCTGTGCTGAACTCTCATGTCGCATGTTTCGAGTCTGCGGCACATCCATGCACCGTGGTATGTGTGTTTGGCGCTTTTTTTCGCGCGTTACGCTTGTAGGATTTTGTATCCGCCTAGGCGGATTCCTGAGAATACAGCATACATGAGCGTGTGGCCGTGGAGTTCGTACGGTGCCACACTTTGCAGGCGGATGGGACCGAAGAACTCTGCCTCCCAGTACGCAATCGCCAAGCGGTGCATTGTGCTTTGTTACATTTGGTGGATGACGCAACCCTGACTCGCAAACCATGAGACTGTAAACATCCAAACCCAAAACTCGAAACTCTGAACTCAAGGCTTGTCTCAAGACTGTACTCACACTAAACCCTAAACCTTAAACCCCTGAATCCTAAACCCCTCAACTCCTTCACCCCCTAGCCCTAAACCCGAAACCCTAGGCCCTAAATCCCTCAAACCTGCACCCTCACACTGATGCCTTCGAACCAAAGTCTTGGGTCGACCCCAAACCTCCTTTGTTTCGGGGCTTCCTAAACCCCCAACCTCCTGAACCCCGAACCCCGAAACCCCTAGACCCCAAATCCCAAACCCTAAACCCCTAAACCCCGAAACCCCTACACCCCTACACCCCAAATCCCAAGCCCTAACCCCTAAACCCCTAAACCCCGAAACCCCCAAATCCCAAACCCCAAACCCCTCAACCCTCCACGCCTGGCAGTGTGGAAGCCGATGCCCTGGTTACCGCCCGTGACCAATGCAGCTGCCATGCCCGGAGCTTGTGGTTTGCTGGCGGTTTAGAGTTTAGGGTTTAGGGTTTAGTAAGGGTTTACGGGCTTCGGGTTTAGGTTTTAGGTTTTAGGGCTTAGGGTTTAGGTGAAGTTGTTGAGGGTAGGAGAGGGAAGGAAGGCTTTCTATGGTGGCACCATGGTTTCAAACTCTGGAGCTTTAGAGGCTGTCTCTGTGGGTAAGAGCAGTATTCAGTCAAGCACTTTGTGCTGCTACTTCTCTTTTGAGACTTGGGCCAAGCCTTGAATTCAGGCTCTCATTCCAGTACCATACTACGATGACCCTGGCAGGAGCCATCATACTTAGAATAAGGTCCTAAACCCTAAACCCTAAACCCTAAACCGTGAGGTGCATTACTTACAGGACTGAGTGGGCAGGCGGGCCAGCGCTCCCGACAGTCTTGGTCTTCCCAAACCCGTCCCCGAAACACTGATGTTGGCCTAAGGGCATTAGGCTTAATGCGCCGCTCCTTGAGTGGACTTAGGGGGTCACACGTTGGTATTGGCCCGCGTGGTTTCGCGACATCTCTGCTTGGGCTGGTTCCCGAAAGTGCTGGTATTTGCGGGACTGTTGTGGTTTGGAGTCAAGATTGGGGT